CTCAGCTCAGACTACCAGAGAGTGTTTAGTGCAAAAGTAAAGCTATGGGCAGTTAACTGTATGGATAGTCTTAGCACCTACTCTGTTTTCATTATACTGGTAATGGTGAGCAGCACGGTGGGAAGCAGCAATGCCCTGTCAGTCATGTTTTCCAAAGCTGATTAAGCACAGCAGGACCAAGTGAAGCAGAGGAAAATATTTTTTAAAAAGTTAAGACAGAGGCTTGACTTATATGAAAACGCTGAAAGGACTTTTCATGTTGGGAAGGAAGCATTTGTGTGTTTATGGGTGGATGACCATGTTCCCCTCAAGCAACCGTCAGTGTCAGAATCACGTCTCAATTTTATGCTTCCCTCTTTGCCTCTCAGTCGGCAGATCACCACCCATGTGAGTGATGTGCATTTGCAGCATGACCAGCAGCCTTGACAGTGACAAGAAAGAAACTAGACACTAGGGTTGTGTTCATGCACAAAGCAATTTTACCCAGGCTGGAGATGCTCGAAGAGACTGACTACAATCATGTGAGCCCACTCGGTTTTATTTCAAGTCATCCTAAGATGCATTTGAGCAGAGCTTGTTCATGGTTGATCATTGCTGCTACAGAACAGGAAGAGACAGTGAATGAAAATTGAGTGAAAAAAAAAAAAAGGAAGGGAATTAAAGTAATACTGTCATGGTGGCTTTCCATTTCTTTCTCTAGGGATCCATATTTATTTAAACCAACTTAATGTCTATTGTTTAGGCCAAGCTGAACGACAAAAGCAATAAATCAGGAGAGGAAAAGAGCCCATTTATTCAAGGTACAAGGGGAAACAGAAAGCCAAACCCTGGTTAGTATCCTCATTCTGGTTCTGATTATTATGTAAACTGGAATCATGGTTAAAAATACACATATAGATCTGCACAGCGAACATGCCATACTTCATCATGCAGCCATTCTCCCATGGCAGAACTCATGGCACCGCACACAGTCAGCACTGAGAAAGCTGTTTTCCAGGAAAGGCATTCACTCTTACTACGAACAGGGGTAAATACTGCCAGGTTAGAGTCCACTTATATAAAGTCAGAAGCCTTCAGCTTCCTCCCTACCCTCTCCAGGCAAGGGGCGTTGCAACGAATACTTGCTATGTGATCAAAAAAAATGAGCCTTTTAGAAGGATTACATCAAGGAAAAATAATAGACAGGGATTAGGCAAGAACTTTAAATATATGAATGTAAATAAGGTGAATTACTTTGGCACAGATTGACACAATAGCGAAAGACTGACCTGTCATGGAGATATTACTGTCATATAAGGTGGTGTTTCATAACACACAGCACTGAGATGTTGATAAACAGTGTTTTTTTACAATACACGAAGAGTCAACATCCATGCTTAAGAGCAGTTTGACAGTGCACCTCACCGAGCGTTGCTGGTTTATCAAAGAGGCGAGGCATGAGGCTGCAGGAGGTTTCAGTCGCTTCTCACATGCAGAGGCCAAAGGGTTGCGACGGACACTGGTCGCAAGAGCTGTCTGCAGGTGCTAATGTAGGACTTGAAACTTTACTCCCTCCTGTACAGCATGAATAAAATATCACAGAACGACTGCAAACAGAAAGGTATTTCTATGGCAGCAGTGTCCAGACAACACACTTGAAAACAAATTCTTGTTTTACACAGGGCTTAGCTAATCTATGCAATTTACTGTCATAAGCTGTTTTTTGTGGCTTAGAGCTTAGCAGGTTTCAAAGCAGGATAACATTTTTACAGACATAATAAGAACACCTTCATTTACATGAAGTCAGATAAAAAGAAAACATGTAAAGGATATTAATGTACGCAAAGTGAGCTCTCTGTGACAAGAACCATCTGTTTTTATTTGTGTGGACAAAAACTAGCACAACACGGACTGATTTCTAACACACAAATAACGTGAGTAATAGGAAAAAGTAATCTATCGCATATAAGGCAACCTTAACCGTTTGATGCTAGAGAAAACATGGATTATCTCACAATTACATAAAGATTTCTTGCACCATCCCCTGAAACATCTGATCTGAGCTACTGTCAGAAAGAAGATATCAGAATCCTAATGGTCTGAGTCATTGTGGCAGTTCTTGTGTTTCTTCTTCATAACAGCTCTATGGCTCCTTGGCTTAGGACAGAAATACAGGAATAACAGAAAATACAATAACAATCCGCTATCAATATCTGAACATATAGGAGTAAAAATAAAGACAACTGTCTTATCTGCTGCATCCACTCTAAGAGACACCATGGAAAAGTGGAGAATACAGGACTTTTTCCCTCCATATTCAAATATTTTGTGATTTCTTTTTATTCAGTGGCCAGCCTCCTCATGACTGAGTCCCTCCCAGAGATTGCTTTTTCCCTTAAAATCATGAAGTAATGTAATTTTGCAATTTCATTCATTTGACTTCCATGTTATCTATCTTTTCCTGACCTTCACGACATGAGTCTTGTTTCCTTGGACTGCTCAGTCTAAACAGTATAGACAGGGGCATGAAAATCTGAGCGGGTGAATGTGTGGGTGAAACGCAGCACTACTCATATTTACCACCTATGCTCTGACTCTTTATTTTGCCTGCTAGCCTGCTGCCTCGTTCAGAACCAAGCTGCCTTTTAGTCACAGTACTTACATCAGCAAAGCAGGTCCAGATCTATATGCCCTTACCAGGACAGCCATAGTCCTGGTAACTACAAACATACTCTGCTGTGTTTGCAGAGTCCTGAGGAAAACGGGCATCAGTTCCGAGAGCTGCTTCAAAACAAACAGAAAACACTGACAGTGCCTGACAAGCGCAGCAGAAATACCCATATGGGCACATATGATTCATATGTATACGGACAAGCTAATGCTCAGCCCTGTGGTGACCGGGTACAGGCACTGAGGTTAGTACTTTTCCCCATTTTCCTTCACAGTATTTTCAGATCCCCATTTTCCCCTCCCAGTTCTTCCCCCGATAGTAGTGGTTCCTCCTTGCTCTGTGTGGTCCAGTTCTTCATTGTGTGTTTCTTTTGGGGAACCTACATTCCCTGTGTGCATTTGTATTTTTTCCTCCATCAGACTAATTTATATTATTAGTGACAGATTATCTTCCTTTATGTACCTTGTGATAAGCCTGAGCTAAGGGACTCCAAAAGTGCTACCATACTCTAGCACCAAGGTCCATGGGGGCTGGGGGCGTCGTTGGGCCATTTCCAGAGCTTTTCACACTGAGCAGCAAAAAAAATGTCTGATTTGGGCCAAAGGGGAGAGAGACCACTGACTCGAGAGTCATCCCCCCTCCCCCACCCCCCCAAAAAAAAAGAAAGGAAAAAAGAAAGAAAAGAAAAATGTGGAAAAGTCTGCAAAGTCTGGAAATGAGGCATTAGTTGTTTGGGTTTTTTTTGGATTTTTTTTTCCTTACAGCTCACAGCCAGCTTGTCCGCAAACACACTCTACCGTGAGCCGTTGCCCGTGAGTCTGGCCCCCACCTCCCTCCATTACGGAACGGCGCTTGGAGCGATTTATCCCGGCGCGCCACCAGGCCCAGAGCTTCAGCTCGTGCGGCGCAAACGGCCGTAACGGCCCCGGCGACCGTTGGGCGAGGAGCGTTGCCCGCAGCGCGAGGCGGGGCCGT